TCTGGGAAGAATCAGCAAAGCGGACTTGAGTTCTTAAAAATGTGAGAGTCAAGCTAAAAATGTGCAGGTAAATCTGTATCTCAAGACAGGAAATAAACCATAATTTTGCTTTTATGGTGGTAAGTGTTGTGAAATAAGTGTTCATAAAGTCTAGACTAACATGGAGGGATTTCAAAAACCAAATGGTTGAGCTGCTTTTCGTAAATCCCATTTAAAGGGATAAAACTGCTGAAGAAAGTGTAAACAAAAATCTGTACAAGATTAGGATTTATATGGGACTGTGGGATTTAATTAGATCCAAACACATGAAAGCTGTGTTATCCAGTATGGTAGCTAATAGCCAACTATATTTAATTGCTGTTCAGATTTTCTCTGAGACTATAATCTTTTGATTTAGAAGCATTGTCTTATATCTCTCTTGCCCATACACTACACTCTCTGCCTCCACCGCCTCCCTGACGAGCTGCCAGCGAAGTGCAAAGCATAGAATCAGAATCTCCGGAAGGGAAATACCCTAAGGTTTACATCATCTGGTCCCATACCATCTATTAAAAACTCTCGAGTTCTGGAATCACTTACTTCACCCTTAGGCAAATGTGAACTTTTCCTTTTGCGAAATTAAAATCAGATTGGTAGTGTGTCAACAGTGTTCCTCATTTTACCCTCCAGAGCCATCATGTGACATGTCCAATCTTTCTTTTGTCCAATATTTCTTTAAATAGTTAATAAAAATGTCATAAAACCGGGCAAAATATCATTAATTTTTAGTCCTAGATGGGGAGACATTCTCAGACACTACCCTGGTACATGACCAGTTATCACCTTAAAAGTAGTAATAGTAACTGCCATATATTAAATCAACCAACAATCACAAGATGGTAGACTGGGAGTTTTAATTAATTATTTCTAATGCATATATGCAACCAACAAGATTAGTGCATATCTGCAGCCAGCAAGGTAGTTACTGTTATTTTTGGAGTTTGGTAGTTAACAAGGGAGCTGTGATCTTTGTTAAATGACCCAACTTGATACGGATTCAGATCTGACTATAAATCCTGTGTTCTTTTACTGTTTGACACTCCATTATATAAATTACAAGCACATGCCTTATTATCAACTGTATTATTTTGTATTATTTTTCAAACTCTATGTCCTTTTAAAACATTTATCTTTGGATTGTGGAAATAGCCAATATGATCCTCACTTGGAGAGTGTAATTTTGAGGAAAAGTTTATTTTTACATTACTATTATTTTAAATTTATTCTTCAATTACAGTTGACATACCATATTATACTAGTTTCAGGTGTACAACATAGTGATTAGATATTTATATACCTTATGAAGTGATCATCCCGATAAGTCTAATACCATCTGACAACATACATAGTTATTATAATAATATTGACTATATTCCCTAAGCTATACTGTAAATCCCTATGACTATTTTTATAACTGGCAGTTAGTACTTCTTAATCCCTTTCACTTTTTAACCCACCTTCTCAACCCCCCTCCCACCTGGCAATCTATTAGTTCTCTGTATCTATGAGTTTATTTCTGTTTTGTTTGTTCATTTATTTTGTGTTGTTGTTCCTTTCACCACTGAACATCCTGTGAATGGCAGTGTCTCCCACTCACTTAGCTTATTGTCAAGTCCATCATTCTGACTCTGAATCGTGGGTCCTTGCTGGGCTCTGCTAACAGCTTCCATCAGTTTAATGTCATATAGTTTAGACCAGTGATGGCGAGCCTATGACACGCGTGTCAGAGGTGACACGCGAACTCATTTTTTTTGGTTGATTTTTCTTTGTTAAATGGCATTTAAATATATAAAATAAATATCAAAAATATAAATCTTTGTTTTACTATGGTTGCAAATATCAAAAAATTTCTATATGTGACACGGCACCAGAGTTAAGTTAGGGTTTTTCAAAATGCTGACACGCCGAGCTCAAAAGGTTCGCCATCACTGCTCTAGGTCTCTCCAACCATGTTGTCGCAAATGGCAAGATTTCATTTCTTTTCATGGCTGAGTAATATTCCATTGTATACATGTACCATCTCTTCTTTATTCGTTTGTGTATTGATGGAAATTAGTCTTTGATTGGAGCATTTAAACCATTTATACTTAAAGGAATTATTGATAGGTATGCAAGCTGGGTTGCGGGGAGGATCAACAGCAATGGCTTCAGCCCACACTTCTGTCTGGGAGAAAGCTGCTCCTCTAGCCCTTGCTCTGAAGCCAGACAATGCAGTCCTTCCCTGTTTTTCAAGCTCTTGCCCCAATGCTGGAGCTCAGAGCAAGTGAGTTTGTCAGTGAGTAAATTCATGCACTGGCCCATTGAGGGGAACCTGAGACTTTCACTCAGTCACAATCCCTGCCAGTTTTCACAGCCAGAAGTTATGGGGATTTCTCTTCCACATACAGGGACCCTAGGCTAAGGAGCTTTGAGTGGGGTTGGGACCCCTCACTGCTGGAGAGGGGACCTCTATAGCCCAGATATCCCCTCACCCCCACTTCTTAACTGCCACATGTGAGTATGGGGTCTGCTCCCTCCGTATCTCCAACCTTCCTACCAGTATCAATGTGACTGCTCCTGAATATCCTTAATTATATAGGACTTCTGTTCAGCTCGTCTTCAGGCTGTTCTCAAGTGGGGGAGGGGTTTGTTCTGTAGTTTAGTGGTAGTACTGGGAGGAAGTGAGCACAGCACTTACCTACTCTACCATCTTGATGAAAAGTTCTTCCTGCAATTTATTTGTGAAAATAAAAAGTCACATCCTTTGTCCTTTAGTTTTGTGTGTTTTTTTTTGGTATTTGCTGATTGCATCCCATGGTGTCCTTTCACTTGTTTCTCTGTCCCTATAAACTGGTTTGTATTTCCTATAAACTGGTAGCTTTTAAAAGTGCACATGTCCAGACCCCACCCTAAAAATGTATTCAGTAGGACTGGTGTTGGTGCTTGGAATCTCTCAATTTTCCTAAGGTCCCTAGGTGCATCTGAATCTGTTTGCCTCATTTTTGGGAATGGCCAACCCATCTCACTTTGCCAGTGGCTATGAGTCACCCTCGGTCACAGCAAGTTTCAGAGACAGACGCTAAGGGTCTAATCCCCAGTGCTGGGCAGTGGGGGTGGTCACTGCAGGAAGAGGTATTAGCGGTCTTTTGTGGGTTGACTGAGACACCCAGTGTGAACTTTTTGGGAGCCCCAGTGCATGTGCCTCCTTCCTCTAACGCAGGTTAGGGAAATTTCTTAAATGATCAGGACTTGCCCTGGCCTTGAAGGTATGAGTTGGGGGAAGAGCAGTAACAGTCTTGATACTGTGGCTCCTGAGGACAAGTGTGTTGTTTGTCCACATGATGGTGATTACAGCCCTGCTGGAGGGCCCCAAGCAGCTGACAGTGCCCCCTCTTGCTCTGAGCTGCTGAGGCAGGTGGGCCTGGGACACTGCTCCAAAGCCTGTGCTCTTTCTTGTCTGCTGATACCCCTTTCCCCCATTCCCCAGGACCAACTGTCCCCTTAACTGATGAGATACTCCACAGCAGTAAGAGTGATCTTTCCATCACCATCACATCACTTTACTACCCTGTTCTAAGCCTACCCATGACTCCCATCACACTTAAGATCCACACTCCTCACCATGGTTGACAAGGCTCACTGTATAGTCTGGCCCATACCCACTTCTCCCATCACATCTTCATTCTTTTCCCTTTCCTACTGGCCACACTGGCCGCTCTGCTGGTCCTAGAACAGGTGGCCATTCCTACCTCAGGGTCTGCATTTGCCATATCGTCCTCCAGGAATACTCTTCCTCCAGCTCCTCACAGGACCCGTCACTCACATTTCCACTGAAAATTCACCTCCTCCAAGAAGCCTCCATTGACCACCTTGTGTTATTTAGCACCCCCTTATCACTCTAGCCTCTTATTCTATTTTACTTTTCTTTATATCAGTTATCATTATTTGAAATTATATTACTGACTTGTTTGTCTCTTCCTTTTGTGGATGCTTTCAGGGGAGGGACTTGAGTCATCTCAGTCACCAAAATATCCCAAGCGACAAGCACAGGTGCTTAATAAATATTTGTTGAGTAAGTTGATAGATAAAAACAGCATTTTCTCACTCCTGCCTTCTCTCTCTCTCTCTCTCTCTCTCTCTCTCTCTCCCTCTCTCTCTCTCTCTCGGAAGTACTCATAGTTTCAGCCTGAGACTTGCCCCAATTTGCACGGGTGTTATTGCAGGAACCCGTAGAAGCTGCACCTAAGGGTCCTTTTTGGAGGCAGTAGGTCTTACAGGATCAGGTATCCCACATGGGAATGTATTTCAAGCGAACAGGGAGGTTTGGGGCCTCACATTGGACAATTGGATTTCAAGTCAAACCATGGCTTTTACAGAAACTTATTTTATTGATCAGTAAGGGACCCCACTGAGGACAGATAAGCTGGGAATAAAAAAGCAGGTGAGCCCTGGGGGATAAGGGTTGCTGCTAGACACTTTCCAGGGAGCAGGACTTCCTGAGTCTCCCTATTCGGCTCCTGAGACCCCAGTCCAAGGGCTCCCTCGGGTACCGCAGACTGCTTCTTTCAGTTTTAAGAAGCCTTTGTTGTGTTGATGGCCGCTGGCAATGACTCGGGGCAGAAGCCCATCTGATAGACAGGGTGGGGCCTTGCTAAGGCCACTCTGCATCCTCTCTGCTCCTGGATCCTACTGGGCTCACAGAGTGCAGACTTTTCTTCTGCCCAAGAAGGGACTCTAGAGGGCTGAGCAGAGGACCATCAGGTTTTCTGCCAGGCCAGCTTTAGCCCTGGGATGCTCAAAGCAGACTCCCATTTGAAACCTCAGTTTCTAAAGTTCCTTGTCCTTGTCTGTTTAGAAGGAGGCTCCTGGCTGAAGAAGGCACAGACAGAATGGCTCAGATTGTAATCACCAGTGGGGGTCACTGAAGGAAGAGGCATTAGCTGCCTTAGGCCATTAAATGCTTGTCCTCTCTGCAGAGTGCCTCAGCCAGCAAGCTTCTGTGGGGTCAGCCTCCAGCCACCATGCTCCAGTCGTTGAATTTTGGGGCTGGAGCAACCAAGGTCTTCATCCAACACTTCCACAGGGTGACGTCGCTTGAGTGCTCGTCTGGGGACTGGCTTCTCTGCCTCCACCTTTGTTGGGGTCAGCTTCTGTGGAGTCACCCTCTTGCCACCATCCTCCAGTCTTGGAATTTTGGGGCTGGAGCAACCGAGGTCTTTGTTTGACCATTTCACAGGATAATGTCTCTTATGTGCTCCTCTGGGGACTGACTTCTCTGCCTTCACCTTTGCTGGGGTGGCCAAAGGAGCATCCCCATAGGACCGGTAGCCAGCGACCAAGCAGTATGTCTCCCCATGCCAGCCCACTCGGGTTTCTCCCTGCCTTCGGTAGGGGACATGGTAGTGACCAGGTGTAGGAGTCACTGTTGCTGGAAAGAAAATTAGAACTGATCAGTCACTTGTGCTATACTCTTTCCTACCAGGACATCCCCTCTCTCAAGTCTCTCCCAGGTTCTTGCTGAAGCCTTCTAATTTGCTTGGCATCCCAAACACAGCCTTAACCCATCACTACTATGAGACCCCTAGAGAAGGGGTGTTGCTGCAAAAGCAATTCTGTGGGGTCTAGGAAAGCAGCAGGAGACCAGAAAATCTTCCCCATTCCCAGAGAAAACAGAATCCAAAAATAATTGCATTCAGGATCTCCTCCATCTTTCCCACAACATATAAAAGATTTCTTACAGACCATCACTTCTGAGGCTTTAAGGAAATGCCTTCCAAGTATGGGAAAAAATAATTTAATATAAACTGGTTTCAGAACCCCCTCCCACCTTGGCAACTCCTCTCAGGCTCGATTCATACTGCTTTTTCAATCACACTGAACTCCAGTCCTCTGGTACTTTTATCTAGATCAGAAAAAGGCCAGATACTGAGGCAGAGTGACCAGGAGGTTGAGAGCCAGATTCTGGGTACCAAGTCTAGGCTCATATCAACCCAACCTTCTGGGATACCATTTTCTCTAGCCCTCCTTTCTTCATCACTCCCCTTAGCTCTTTTGTTCTTCCCATGGTTGGGCCCACCCTTTCTCTTAGTACTCAGCAGCTCAGGTTGGGATGTGTCTGAGGGACCCATGTGGATGTCTACATGACAGTACAGTGAAGGTGACTGAGTTTGAAAGAGAGGCTCATGAGCACTGCTCAACAGTTCTTTCTCAAATTCTCCACTGATCATTTGCACACAAAAATGCACCCGACTTTTGCTAAGAAACCAACCAGTAAAGGGGCTGAATGGAAGTAACTTGTAGCCCAAAGGGGAAGGTTACAACAAGAAAGATGAGAATCTTTCTGAACATTTGCCCAGGAATGACATCGCACTTGTCCTCAGCAGTGAGCAGGAACTCTGTGGGTCTCTGAGGGGGGACCCAGGCTACTGGTATTACAGATAGCTAGGGCAGTTCTTAGATGTGATAGACAAGCCCAAAAGGATCATGTGACTACCAGGTGAGGTTGCGTGTACACCAAACGTCCTAGATGCCCAGCCTAGGCCTACCTGCTGTGCTGCACTCCAAGGGGACAGAGGACAAGTCACACTGCATGTACAAGATCCGGTCAATCATCTCTTTGTCAGGCAACTACACAGATTGGTATCTGGTAGAGAACTGGTAGGGAAGGTTCTCCTGGAACACCACATTTCTGCAGTTACTCTGCCATGGAAACCGTGATGTCATCACTACTCGTGAGGTCACGTACGGAATCTGTGGCTTAGGCTCTCGAGGTTTTGAGGAGAGTGGGCTGTGCCCTGCCTGTGCCCTCACACCTGGCCCTCCCCTCTCATGCCTTAATCAAGTAGCCACTCCCTGGGGAGCATACTTGTGGACTGGCACAGCCCTGGACCTTAGGAAGGCAAGAGAAACTCCACTCTGAGATTAGCATGAAAAGCAAGATTAACCTAAGACAGCCAGGTTTTTGGCACTGACCCTAAGTATCCAACAGTTGGAGAGGCAGAGATTTGTGTGGACTGGGGAATCAAGGAAGGCTCCCTGGTGGTGGGCCTGAAGGACAAATGAGATGTGGACCCGGGGAGGGGAGAAGGGAGACATTTCAGTTGGGAAGAGTAAAAACAAATGTCAATTCATAGAACCCTCATGTTTTTATAACTGAGGACTCAAAAGCCAAGAGGTTAAGGGACCTACCCAAGGTTTCACAGGTGGTGCAGAGGTGTTCTGTTCAATGGTAGGGCTTCATGGTGGGGATGTAGATTTATGGCTTATAGGAGTGTAAGGACAAGCTCATCAACATTTCAGAGTGACACTGGGAGAGATGTTCAAAGTACTCCAAGGCAAAGTGAGGGTCCTGAATGACTTCAGAGTGGGAATAACGGGCCCATTTTAATATAAAATTAAAAACAAGTTCAAGACAAAATGACATAATATGAAATGACAACCCAATGAACACACTTCTCTCCCCCCCACCTCCCCCAAAAGGAAAATAATGGCAGTGCCACCACCATGGAAAGGACAAGATTTGGGTGCAGAAGCAGCCCAGGTGAAAAACATGGTCAACACTATGAAGAAGTGTTATTGAAAGCCGATTTTTTTGCTACTCAGAAGAGGAAATAGATAATTCTGTCCTTAGTATGGTCAGGCCCATAGACAGAAATTATACAGGGGCTGGAGGAGGTTAATGGGAGATAAAAGGGGACCTATGTAATACTTTCAACAATAAAGAGAAAAAGAAAGAAATCATATTTGGGGCATCCTTTGGTAGTGTGGCCAAGAACTTCCTAGCAATGTGAGATAACCTTCCTTGGGAGGGGGATCCCTGTTGCTGACCTTTAGTAAGCAAAGATGGGACATTTGTTTGCTTGGGCTGTTGCAGAGGGATGAATCCATGAGATAAACTGCCTAGGTTACCATTTTATATAATTTTTAAAATATAGTGTTTTATTATTATTATTTTTATTTTTTATTTTCAGGGAGAGGAAGGGAAAGGGAGAAAGAAAAATAGAAACATTGATGAGAGAGAAACAACAATTAGCTGCTTCCTGCCCACCCCCTACTGGGGATGGAGCCTGCAACGCAGGCATGTGCCCTGATCGGGAATTGAACCGTTACCTGGTTTATAAGTCGGTGCTCAACCACTGAGTCATGCTGGCTGGGCTTTATAAACTATGTATCTTCAATTTCTCTCCTTTTTAAAAGTCATGTGCTAAAAAGATTATGTATGCATTTCCTAAATCTAGTAGTCATAGTTGTATATCTTTTTAATTGTACACCTTGACATACCATATTTTCTTTTTTTTGTGGCGAATTAGCTGGTGATGTAAGGCATGGTAGTTCATGTGTGGCCTCAGAGTGAATGACCTGGGTAGACTCTAACCCTTCTTCTATGGTTTGGGGAGGATGCCTTTCTGCTCTGTTTTTCCAAGGGTTTGGCTGCCATATCCCAGATGCAGGCCTCAGCCATAAGTGCTACTTCCTTCCACCAGGGACCATTAGTGGTTGAGTAGCTGCTCTAACCATCACAAAAATAGATAAACATGTGTTGCCTATCTTCCAGAGATCTCAAGGCTTCAGCCACTTGGAACCACATATAAACAGCATTCCAAGATTGAGGAGAGACAAACTTTATCTTTTACTCTAGGGCTAGGTCCCTTGGAGAAGGAAGCCATGCCTTGATTTCCTTCCTTGGAAATCCCAGCAGGACTTGTATTTTCTGACGCATTCTCCATGGCCCTTCAGCAGCATGCTTGCCTGGGTCTTTCACCTTCCCTGGAGAGGGTGTTGGGGATGGGAGTAGGGCAGTGATATGTGATCAGCATGCCATTATCCCAGAATCCCATAGAAATAACTTCAATATTTAGGCACATTTTTGAAAGATAAATCTTTGGTGGTGATCTTTTTTCTTTATCTCTCTTTAACAAACTTTGGAATGAAATGCAACCAAATTTTAAATATTTGTCTCTTGCAGTGTGGTATAATATGAACAGAAAAAAAAAGTGAACATTTCTTCTGCAAGGAATTTTAGAATTTCAGGTTGAATTTCAATTTTTAAAATAAGCTAAATTATGTTTCGCTCTCCTGCTACGTGTCTAACAATAATCATATGGGTATTTTTCTGCTCTTCTGGGTGCAGATTGCCCTGTACGTCACATCTCTCCATCTGAGGCTCCCCATGTGTTCTATCACTCTCTTGCAGAAATGCTTCTCCTTTTCCCTAAGTTTTGTTGCTATAGTCTCGACTGTCATTTCCTCAGCACCATCTGTAGACTGATATTTTGTTGAAATTTGTATGGGTTCCAAGTAAGAATTCAGCTCAACAGGCCAGCATATTTAGTTTTTAGGAGAAAAGAAAGTAATTGATTAATTCCTATTCTAGTCCATTCTCTTTTTCCCTCCACTTCATCCCATTCTACCCTCACATGAAGATATTCTTATAGCTTTGAAATGGAATCAAATTTCCAGGCTGTATAATTAAATTTCAGTAAAAAATTCCACTTACCAGAATGCTCACAATACTAATATTGTTGTTAGAAATAAGACACTTGATTAAAAGGGGGCACACTTGTCTATATCCTTAATGTGCATTTCTAATGAGTCTTAGCAGGAGGCTGATTCACATGAAAATGCACAATTAGCTCATCCAACTTTAATATACCATTATCTGCACCCAGGCCCTCTCTTCATTACCATTTGAATGCACTGTTTTCTTTGGAGTTTTGTGCAGGAAACAAATCCCTATATATGGCACACAGCCTTAGACTCTGATTTGTCTGCCTTTGCCCTTTAGACAAAAGGCCAAAACAACATGCTCCCATGGTGCATTAATTTTCAGTCTCTGACTATTTTTGAAATTGTAATGCAGCACATTTCTTTTCTAAGGGACTTAGTAGACAATGTAGAAGTGGATATAGCCAAGGGATTTGTTATTTTGAACGGTGGCACACCATCTTTCCTACATGGACTGTCCAGATAAAAGGGTTTGCTTTAAAGTGCTGATGAAACGCAATGAAATGAAATATTACTTGAAAACTGATTTCACTACTATATTTAGTTTACTTTACCATCAGTGTCTGGAGTCAGACGATTGGTTGCCTAAAAATAAAAATAGAGAAGCCCTAGCTGGTTTGGCTCAGTACATAGAGCGTCAGCCTGTGGACCAAAGGGTCCCGGGTTTGATTCAGGTCAAGGGCACATACCACAGTTGCAGGCTCCTCCCCTTGGCCCAGGCACTGGTCAGGGTGCATGCAGGAGGCAGCCAATCCATGTGTTTTAATTCCTATCAACGTTATCATTTGGCTTTTCATAAATTTTCAGTGTTTCTGGTATGCCTTGCTCCCACACTTGCCCAAGTTTCCCTGATATTTAGAATTCTATCTAATCTTAAACAAATAAAATCAATAACGAATTAAAAAGTCAACGGGAAAGTAATAATCTTTTTATAAATGGTGCTGGGATAATTGATACCTATATACATAAGAATGAATTTGGATCCCTACTTCACATCATACACAAAATAACTCAGAATGGGTCATAGATCTTCTGTAGAATAAACTTAACCAAAGAGGTAAAGTAATTATACACTGAAAAGTATAAAACATTGATGAACAAAATTAAAGTGGATATAAATAAACACATGAAACACATTTCATGTTCATAAATCAGAAGATTAGTATTGTTAAAAATATCCACACTCCTTTATGGTCTACAGATTCAATGCAGTTCCTATCAAAGTCCCAATGGCATTTTTACAGAAATAGAAAATCCATTCCTAAAATTCATATGTATCCACAAAGGATCCAGAATAGCCTAAACAATCTTGAAAGAGAAGGGCAAAGCTGAAGGCATCATACATACTTCCTTATTGCAAAGCTACAGTAATTAATATAGTGTGATACTGGTACATAAAAAAAAAGACATTCAGAACAATGGAACAGAATAGAGAGCCCCGAAATAAACCCACACATATACGGCCAACTGATCTTCCACAGTGGTGCCAAGAATACACAGTGGGGAAAGGATAGTTTCTTCAATAAATGGTTTTGGGAAAATTGGATACAAATTTAGAATGAAATTGGACCTTTATCTTATGCCATACACAACAATTAATTGAAAATGTATTAAATATTTAAACATAAGATCTGAAACTCTAAAAGTCCTAGAAGAAAACATAGGGAAAACATTCATGACATTGATATTGGCAATTGTTTCTTGGGTATGACATCAAAAGTACAAGCAAAAAACAAAACAAAAAAAATACCACAAGAACAGCCAAATGGGACTAAATCAAATGAAGAAGCTTCTGCACAAAAAAGAAAACAATCAAAATAGAGAAAAGGCAACCTACAGAATGATAGAAATTATTTACGAACCATTTATTTGATAAGCAGTTAATCTCTAAAATGTATAAGGAACATCTAGATCTTAATAGTAAAAAATAAACACATAACACATTTAAAAAATGGACTAAGGACTTGAATGAACATTCCTCCAAAGAAGACATACAAATGGCCAACAGGTATATGAAAATATACTCAACATTTCTAATTATCAGGGAAATGCAAATCAAAACCAAAATAAGATATCATCTCAACCTGTTACTTAGGATGACATTTAAA